ATTTTTTAGCACCTGACGGCTCTTTTTTGCTTCTCATCCGTAAATACTCTGCATCTTTCACGTGATTCAGTTTATTTTGAAAAGTCTCAACAGGATCTTGAGCTTTATTGTGAAAGGTTTATGTGGAAAATAAACAAGCGGACACATGGTGGTTTTACCGTCATCGTTGCTAAGGACAATGCATAAAAACAAGCGCTTCTCTGTCTGTAGTGTGGTTATATTAAATATAAAGAGAACTTTAAAGAAAGAGAGAACTTTAAGAAATTAATATAGCCACTACAGTGAACATCAAAATAATGAAAAAATGTTGCCGTAAACAGTTTATTTTGTGACACCACGAAACAAATGATAGTGTAAAATGAAACATAGACGTTTTTATATCATCATCCGATATATATCGTTGTATCGAACAGCCCTAAAAGGAAAAAGGATTGTGGAAGTATATTGCAAAAAACTCTCTTGGAAGCAAGTCAAGAGGGTCAGATTATGTGAAACACACAGATTTTAAAAAAGGAATGATAATGAGGCATTTGTAATAACTAAGCTGTAAATATAAAAAGATCATGGTCCTTTGTGTCTGAATTAACTAGTGATTTTTGACGAGATTTAGTTCTGCAATATTTTCATTTTCTCTCGCCAATTCCATAGAATAAATATACCATTATCTAATAACATTTGGAACACATTTCTGACCTATCTTGGTTTGGTTCAGACACCCGGGGCTGAAGACACGCACACCTCCACGCACACAGAAAAAATATACAAGTTGCTGCTCTTAGCACAGAAAAACTGCTAATCCGGCCAGTATTCACCCCCAGTGAACCACCATGAGGATTATTCTGCGCCATCGCCGCTCTCTAAAATCATGACAAACATGTACCAAGCTCCTGTCCCATAGCAGTCTTTTTTATTGATAAATTTTAATTGTCTATTCCATTCTTATTATTTAGCTGCTTGCCTTTATTTATACTCCTTTTCTTCTTTAATTGTTGCCGTTCAATTCAAATCAATTTAATTTTTAATGAAATTCAATTTTATTCATATACCACCAAACCACAACAACAGCCTAAAGGCACTTTATATTGTAAGATAAAGACCCTACAATAATACAAGAACACACCAACAATCAAATGTTAAGCAACCACTTTGGCAACAGTGGGGAGGAAAAACTATTGTAACAATATATCATTCAGTCATTCAGGTAACAGTCGTCTAAGGCGCTTGGAAAGAAAGTAGCTAGATTGCATGTTTCACCTCCTATCCGATTCACTTTTTTTTTTTAAAAATTCTAAAGCCAAATGGTGGATAGTCCCAGGAATTTAAAACCTGGTGGGATTTGCCCCTTAAGATGATTATGTCTCTCGTCACACAACAAAGGTGTGAAAAGAGGGTCAATATCATAAGAGATTTTGTGTCAAACCATTGTGACACCCTGCCTCAGCTCATCATGTGACTTGAAATCACCTGTTCACAGATGGTCGCTTAGAGTGGATACAATACAATGAACACTTTAAGTGTGTGTAAACACACACACACTTTAATGGTGAAATGTAAATTATGTAACTGTGCACAAATGTTCTTTTTTCCCTTTTCTTTTCCGTTTCCGTGCTTTGCCTTCACACTGTTGCACGTCTAGTATTGTGTCAAATATTATTGAAGTAAGACGCACGTTTTGTAGTCCATCGTGTTTACATACCTGTTTATTTCGGATATCCAGCAGTATGCGCTCATAGCTGGTCCTCCTCAATCATAGCTTATTAACATTTGACATTTCTTCGCCTGCAGTACCAATTCTCTCCTTTTTTCCCCCCTTTATTTATTTATCCTTCTTATTTCATTGTACTGTATATTGTTACTCTTATTTGCCTTGTATGTCTACTGCACAAACTGAACCAACTCTCTCCTTTAACTCTCTCTGCACCGAAACATCGCGTCACATCCGTTTTTTCTTCTATTGCATTTCTGGCAGATTGAACTGAAAAGCGTACTAGCGCCCTCTAATGATTCAAATTGAGCACTGACTTAAAGGAATAGTGAATGACAGAGATCTCAAACTCATTTTACATCGTCAATCGCATAAACCAAATTTTAATCTTGAGTGGGCCAGACCAGTGAAACTCTGCTTTCTATCGATTTATTCTTCTTCCTGCTCCTTTTCATGCATGGAAACAGTGTTACTTTAATTGAAAGGAAGGTTGTGTATGGGAATGAATTACTGGTGTACCATGTGTGAAACAAAAAATAAAATAAAAAAAAATAAAAAAAATTTAAGTACACACTTCAGTATCA